AAGCAGAAATAAACAAAATAGAGTCTCAAAAAATTACAAGATATAAATGAAATCAAGAGCTGGTTGTTTGAAAAGATAAACAAGACTGAGAAAACTTTAACCAGACTCATCAAAAAAAGAAGGGGGGTGGTGGGAGTGGACCAAAACAAATAAATTCAGAAATGAAAGAGAAGTAACAACTAACACCAAAAAAATACAAAGGATTATAAGAAAATATTATGAACCACTACATGCCAACAGACTGGACAAGCTGGATAAAATGGATAAATTCCTAGAAATATACAATTTTCCAAAATTAAATCAGGAAGAATCAGAGAATATGAACAGAGAGATAACACCTAGTGAAATTGAAGCACTAATCACAAAATTGCCAACAAACAAAAGCTCTGGATGGGATGACTTCACAGGTTACTTTTACGAAACATTCCAGTAAGAATTAACACCTCTCCTTTCCAAACGATTCCAAAAATTTTTAGAGGAGGGAAGGCTCCCAAGCTCATTTTATGAGGCCAGCATTATCCTAATTCCAAAACCAGATAAAAACACTATGAAAAAAGAAAATTATAGGCTAATACCCCAGATGAACATAGATGCTAAAATCCTCAACAAAATATTAGCAAACTGGATTCAACAATACATTTTAAAATATCACACACCATGATTAAGTGGGATTTATTCTGGGGATACAAGTTGGAACAAGATTCACAAATCAATATGATACAGTACATGAACAAAATGAAGAATAAAACCACATGATCCTATCCATAAATGCTGAAAGAGCATTTGATAAAAAATCCAGCACCCATTAATGATGAAAACTCTCAGCAAAGTGGGAATAGAGGGAACATAACTCAACATAATAAAGGCCATATATGATAAACCTACAGCCAATATCATACTCAACAGGCAAAAACTACCAGTGTTCCTCTTAAGATCAGGAACAAGACAGGATGTCCACTTTTACTATTCTTATTCAAAACAATGCTGGAATTTCTAGCCATAGCAGTCTTACAACAAGAAATAAAAAGCTTCCAAATTGGAAAGGAAGAAGTAAAACTGCCATTATTTGCAGATGACATGATACTGTACATAGACAACCCTAAATTGATACTAGAACTGATACATAAATTCAGTAAAGTAGAAGGATACAAATTTAATATCCAGAAATCAGTTGCATTTTATATGCCAATAATGATCTATCTGAAAGGGAAATTAAGAAAACAATCCCATTCACAATTGCTCCAAAAAGAATAAAATAGCTAGGAATAAATCTAACCAAGGATGTAAAAGACATGTGTTGGAAAATTATAACAAACTGAAGAAAGAAATTGAAGAAGATATAAATATTTGGGAGCACATACTATGTTCATGGATAGGAAAAATTAACATCATTAAAATGTCCATACTACCAAGAGCAATCTATAGATTCACTGTAATTCCTATTAAGATACCAATGATGTATTTTACAGAACTGGAACAAATATTTCAGAAATTTATGTGGAATCAAATAAGGCCCCAACTAGCAAAAGCGATTTTGAGAGAGAAAACCAAAGTTGGAAGCATCTAGTTACCTACTATGACACTATACTGTAAGGCCACAGTAATCAAAACAGCATGGTACTGGCATAATAACAGGACACACAGAACAATAGAACGGAACAGAGATCCCAGAAATCAACCCAGACCTTTACAGTCAACTAATATTTGACAGAGGATGTAAGCATATACAATGGGCTAAAGGTGGTTTATGCAATAAATGGTGTTGGGAAAACTGGACAGATTCATGCAGAAAAATGAAACCAGACCACTTTCTTATGCCACACAAAAGAATAAATTCAAAATGGATTAAAGACTTAAACCTGAAATCATAAAAACCCTAGGAGACTCCTTTGTAGGTGACTGTCCCCTTATCTCTTGCTGCTTCTAGAATTCTTTCTTTCATTTTAATCTTGGCTAATGTAATTATGATGTGACTTGGTGTGTTCCTTCTTGGGTCCAACTTCTTTGGGACTCTCTGAACTTCCTGGATTTCCTGGAAGTCTATTTCCTTTGCCAGATTGGGGAAATTCTCCTTTATTATTTGTTCAAATAAGTTTTCCACTGGTGGCTGTTCCTTTCCCCCTTCTGGTACCCCTATAATTCGTATGTTGGAACATTTAAAGATGTCCTGGAGGTTCCTAAGCCTCTCCTCATTTTTTTTGAATTCTTGTTTCTTCATCCTTTTCTGTTTGGTCATTTTTTCCCTCTTTCTGGCTATCAGCAGATTTCTCAAAAGAGACCTTACAGGCAAGAAGGGGCTGGAAAGAAGTATTCCAAGTCATGAAATCCAAAGACCTACATCCAAGATTGCTCTATCCAGCAGAGCTTTCATTTAGAATGGAAGGACAGATAAAGTGCTTCTCAGACAAGATCAAATTCAAGGAGTTCATCATCACCAAGCCCTTATTATATGAAATGTTAAAGGGACTTACCTAAGAAAAAGAAGATAAAAAAGATGAGCAGTGAAAGGACAGCAAACTCACAGTTACTAAGAACCAAACCTGAAACAAAAACAAACTAAGAGGACAGCTAGATCAGGAGCAGAACCATAGAAATGAAGATCACATGGAGGGTTAGCAACAGGGGAGTGGCAGAAGGAGAAGAGGGGAGAAGGTACAGAAAATAAGTAGCATAGATGGTAGGTAGAAAATAGATAGGGGGGAGGGCAAGAATAGTATGGGAAATATAGAATCTAAAGAACTTGAGACACGTGTTCATAAACTAAAAGGGGGGAATGGTGGGGGAGGGGTGTGGAGGGGAATGAAGGGGGGAATAGAACTGTAATGACATAATCAATAAAATATATTTTAAAAAAACAATTAAAAAATAAGATTTATATCCAAAAAGAACCCTAGGAGAAAACATAGGTAGTAAAATCTCAGACACTTACCATAGCAATATTTTTTCTGATATATCTCCTTAAGCAAAGAAACCAAAAAATAAATAAATAAACAAATAGGACTATATCAAACTAAAAAGGTTTTGAATAGCAAAGGAACCACCAACAAAGTAAAAGGACAATCCACAGAATAGGAGAACATATTCATATATCTGATTAGGGGTTAATATACAAAATTTATAAACAACTTATAGAACTCAACAGAAAAAAAAATTTGAAAAATGGAACAAGGACCTGAATAGCCACTTCTCCAAAAAGGACATACATATGGCCAACAAACTATGAAAAGATGCTCAACTTTACTAAGCATCAGAGAAATGCAAATTAAAACCACAGTGAGAATCACCTCATACCTGTCAGAATGGCTATCATCAATAAACAATAAACAAATATTGCTGAGGATGTGGAGAAAGGGGAACTCTTCTGCACTGCTGGATGCAGACTGTTGCAGCCACTGTAGAAAGCAGTCTGGAGAGACCATGAAAAAATTAAAAAATGTAACTGCCTCATGTCCCAGCAATTCTACTTTTGGGAATTTATCCAAAGAAACCTGGAACCCTAATTGGAAAAAATATATGCGCACTTATGTTTATTGCAGCATTATTTACAATGGCCAAGATTTGGAAGTAGCCCAAGTGTCCTCAGTAGATGAGTGGATTAAACAACTATGGTACATTTACACAATAAAGCTGTAAAAATGAAGAAAATGTTATGTTTTGTGATGGCATCGACTGACCTGGAGAACATCATGTAAAGTAAAATAAACCAGTCAGAGAAAGACAGGTACCACATGATTTTACTCATATGTGGAATCTAATGAACAAACTGAACTAACAAGCAAAATGGAGACAGACTCATAGATAGAGAGCAAGCTTATAGCTCTAGGTGTGGGGTGGTTTAGGGGGTGGAAGAATCGAGCAAAAAAGAAAAAGGACTCATGGAATGGACAGCAGTGAGGTGACTGCGATAGAAGGGGGTGGGTGGAGGTAGAAGAAGGTATAAGGGGATAAATGGTAATAGAAATAATACAATAAAAATGCATTTAAATAAATAAATAAACAAACATACGTACATCAGACACCAACAACAGTATGGTGATCACCAGAAAGAAAGGGGTAAGGAGAATAAATGGAAGGAATAAAAGGGGTAAGGTAAAGGGGAATAAATGGAAGGAGACTTGACTTGGTTTGGTGAAAATACAGTATGACATACAGATGATATATTATAGAACTGTACATTTGAAACCTATATAATGTTATTAATGTCACCCCAATACATTCAATAAAAATTAAAAACATAAACAAATAACTCACAGAGTGTTTATTTCTTGAATTTTTCCATCTAATATTTTTGGACCACTGTTAACTGCAAGTAACTCAAAACACAGAAAGTAAAAACACAGACAAGGAGGACTACTGTACCATAAGGTTAGGTCGAGTTATATAATTAGCAACTTTTCCCCTGCCAGCTTATAGGGAATTAAACCTTAAATCTCTTTAAGTGGTTATTTTCACCCCCTAAGGGATCACAAAAATCAACAGCCAACTTAACCAACAGCCCCAAGGGCAAGCTGGCATCTGTCCACACAAGTGAAGATCAGTATCTCTGTCATCTTCCTTGGTGACAATTTCAAATCAGAGTCTTAGCACTATAAGGGACTTCCCATCTCTCTCCAAAACAACATGCAGGGGATCCCTGTAGGTGAGCAACGAGCAGGGAAGGAGCAGGAAGTTAAAAGTTGCAAAGTGACATTGGTATGAAAGAGTAAAGGCAGAGTTTTTTTAGCACACACATGTGCAGCCCATGTGTGTCACCTCCACAGCAAAAATGTGCTGCCTTGACTTGGCTCATTTGGCAGAAAGCCTGGAGAGGAATACAGCCCTGCAGGCTGCTCTGGGCTTTGGAATGACAGTGCAGGACCAGTCCCTTGCACTTAGCTGGGCACATAGCACTGGCTGATGAGCTGTGTGTGCATGAGTAAAGCCAAGTGATACAGAGAGATACATAGGGGAGGAGTGTTGAGTTACTAGACAGGAAGACTAGGGGTTCCGGTTGCTCCTACCTGGGCTGACTTCTGGCTGCAGGGAGCTCAGAGGAAGTGGGGGCGAAGATTCGGGGGCCTCTGCAGCTGGGTGTTCAGACACTGGACAGATGATAAACCACCTCTTCCCAGTGTGTAGGACTAAAGGGCAGGACAAAAACAGCTGGTAAGAGTAAGTACATTTCTCCCAGCATGACCCTCACCACTGGCACCAGACTTGACATATGACACTTTGGGGAACATATATCATACCAGAAAGGGGGTATGCAGCACACTCATGGGCTCCTTGCTGGCAGCCAGAGGCCCTAACAAGTACCCCCCAACATGGGCCTAGTTCCCAGGACACCCAAGGTACTATCACTAAAGGGTTAGCAGGCAATGTCGAGTCCATGCCATGCTCAGTCAACACCTGGGATAGACAGGACAGACATTTGGAGGCAGGGGGAAGGCAAAGGCAGTATATACATACTCCAACAGCCCCTCAGTGTGATGGCCTAACTTCTGACAATATGCTCAATGGGTCTTTTATCAAATGCCTCCTGGGAGACAGAAGGGACAATGACAGAAATGCCTCCTATAAGATAAGCCTGGTGGGGGTATGGCCCTGGAGGCAGACGACATACCATTCTGCTGATACACCAGGGCGTTTGCTTGGGATTGGCGACTCTCCTGAGGGAGGTAAAGGGTCAGATATCAGCAGACTGCATGGACCGAGAAATGGGAGCACAACATGGCCTCGAAACATCCGAGGGCCTTGGAGCTCGGGCATTTCCAACTGAGCTGAGGGCACCCTGTGCCCAGCCACCTCACTCAATGCTGCACGCACACCAGGCTCCTCCAGTCACCAGACAATGTCCCAGCATTGTTCTCAGAGCCTGGGGCTGGGGTGTAAGCAGGCCCTTGCCCTCCCGAAACCCAGTACTCCGACTCACCTCTCCGGCACCCAGGCTGCTGGTGCTGAGAGGTGGTGGGCTTGCCCCTGGGTCAGAGCCATGGTCCACATCTGTGTCTTCACTAAGCATGTCTTCCGCCTTGTCCATGACATCTTTCATCTGCTCAATGAATGTCTCCCGTTCAGCCTGCAGGATGAAGTCGTGCTCTACCTGTAACATACACACATCCCTGCTGGTGGGAACATGCCATTGGTCTTTTGGATCTTCACTGATTGATTTGCTTGATTTCTGCTATGCACTTAACTCCAGTGGGGAGACACAGCCAGGGGACTGGGCCCCGAGCACAGAGCTGCACAGCTCAGCAAGAGTAGTCATGGCTTGAGCAGCAGGAAGCTCCCTGCAGAAGCCAGAGGTTAGGAAAGGTTGATAACAAGCAGGTTGATTGCAAGCAGCTGAGTGCCCAAAGGACATGGAGGAGATAGCCAGGAGATGTGCAGCTATAGAGTCAGCCTGGCAGGACACCCACTTACCATGTAGGTGGCGATCTCATCGGGTGCATCCCCATCCAGGTCAAACTTGAATGTCACCATTTTGTGGTTGTGTGTCTCCAGCTGGCACTCGACCATCTTATCACCCGTGTTGCATACCTAGAGGACACCAGGGAAATGAGACCTGGTAGGAGACCACACCCAGCCAACCCTGTACCTGCCAGCCCACCACACCTGTCTCCTCACATTCAGGATGGTCAGCCGGGGCCGGCTGGCCCTCTCCTGGCGGGAGCGCATGCGTGTAGACCTGCGGTGGTGTTTCCGGGTAGGCTTGCCTTCCAGCTTCCCCCCACCAAACGTGCCTTCGCAGCTGTCACTCAGCTCTCTTCCAGAAGTGACATCGGACCCTCCGTAGCTGTTGGAAAACCAAGAATGTTAATTTGTTCATGAAAACAACCTGTAATCTGGCCTCATTTGGGGAGCTTAGCTTTTCAGGGAACAGCCAAAAGATTTAACACCTGGGTGTGCTCAGCAGGAAAACCCAGAGGGTCTGAAGCCAGCCATGACTAGGAAAGAAACCCCCAACCCAGAGCACCTCCTCCCCATCCTGGAAAGAGCCAAGGTTGTGGGGGTCACATGGGTTTTATAACCTAGGACCTTGGTCCTCTCAGCCTCCTGACCTGCTCACAGTAAAACTCAAAATTAAGAAACAATCTTCTCTGATACCTCAGTTTCCCTATTTGCAGCAGCAACTAGAACATGCCAATTGCATGAGGCTTTTGCAGATGTGAGGACAGCTTGCAAAGCAGTGAGCTTGGTGTTGACATACTTAGAGGATGGGACACAGGGTCACTTCCTGACCAATTTCCTCCCAAACTCAACATGCCCCATGACTGGGCAACTACAGGTGCCCAGCAGTGAGGCACTGGAAGACCAGTGGTGTGAGTTGGACTCTTCCCTGGTCCTGTCTCTGACCTGTACCACCCTCAGCACAGAGACCAGTTCTAAGATCCAGAACACACCCTGGAGCATTGAACAGCCAATTTCAGCAAGAGCTAACAGGTCCTAGAGGAACTCCCTGAGGCTCCACCAGGTCAGGCTGGGAACTGCTGATGTCATTAGAAGAGGGGACACAAGAGGGGAAAGGGAGGCAAGAACCCTATGACACAGCAGTGGGCAGGCTAAGCTGGCCCATGGGCAATGCCATCCCCATCCCAGCTGAGTCGTTACCTCTCACAGCTCTGCAGGAGGCCAAGCTGCTTGTCCTGTGAGGCCTGCTCCTGAAACAAAACCATGGAAAGGGTCACATTTGCTCCCCTACAGCACAGCCATCAGCACAGCTAGTTCAATCCAGCCCAGCCCAGCCCACTGCCTGATTCTTCTGACTTTAGCAAGTAAACCACACAAGGCATCTGGTGTGAGGGTTTTTATCTTGTGGGAGCCAAGCAGAATCTGAAAAGCTGGGGCCCTCCCTTTTCCAAACATGGTAACCTTCTTTGATCATCCCTACAAAGAAGCACACAGGCCCAGGAAGGCTTGTCACAGGCATTCCCATCACCTCCAAGGGAAAGTTCCCTAAATCTATGTGTAAAAGATCACACCTTCCACCTGGATGTGCATTTAAAGTAAATGTGATACCTACAGACAGTGGAGGAAGATAAGAAGGGCACACATGACTGTTCCAAGGCACACACTTCTACCTTCCGCACTCTAGGGCTGAGACCAAGCCCAGGAGCAAGGTATCAAGGTGACAGGCTGGAGGCCTAGACCCAAGGGTAGGGCACACACCTCTGGAGCCAACTCCACGGCAGACTGGACAGCTGGGCAGAGGTTGGAGATCCCAGGCCCACTGGTCAGTGGTAGGTTAGCAGGTGGCAGCAGCGCAGAGGTCTGGATGGGCAAGCTCTGAGCAGCAGCCACCACTGTGGGAGCCAGGGAACTAGGAAGCTGAGGCAGGAACTCAGGGGTGGCAGGTGGCAGCACTTCCGGCAGAGGCGGGGAGAGGATGGCAGCAGGAGTGGGAACTGTGGGGACCTGGGCAGTGATGTCCACCACATACGAAGGTGGGTGGCCAAGCAGGATCTACAGGCACAGAAGACAGGGATGCAAGTCAGGGTGCCATCTCAGCTAGATGTGCGTAAGTGAAGTATGGTTTTAGATTAGAATTTATACAAGTGGTAACTCAAGAATGGCTTTTTGTTGTTTCTTCTAAGACTGTGTAAAACATTCTCTGAGGCTAGGACTTGCCTGTGGCAGGCATGGGTATGTTAGAGAGAGACACTTCAATGCCCACACCTCAGGTGTGCTCACCTTCCTGGACAGGGAATCACCTGCTGTGATTCCAGACCCTCTTTCAGACAGCAGTGGGAAGCCACTGGCCTGGAGGGTGACCTCTGAGTGTACAATATCTTCTCTGGCCACCGAGCAAACAACTCAGTGCCAATAGTGTGCCAGGCCAACACAGGCAGCAAGGTGCCTGTCCAGGCCCTGAGACCTCAGACCCCAAACCTCCAAATGGCCCTGTGTTTAACCAAATGGCCCTGATCCCTGAGGAGCCCTGGGCATCCTGGGGCACAGCAGGTGATTCCCTGTCCAGGCAGGTGAGCACACCTGAGGTGTGGGCATTGAAGTGTCTCTCTCTAACATACCCATGCCTGCCACAGGCAAGTCCTAGCCTCAGAGAATGTTTTACACAGTCTTAGAAGAAACAACAAAAAGCCATTCTTGAGTTACCACTTGTATAAATTCTAATCTAAAACCATACTTCACTTACGCACATCTAGCTGAGTCTGGCTGAGAAGCCCTAAGTGGACCAAATGCTTCCCCAATCCCTGCCTCCTAAAGGGGCACTGGATCTCAGCCTTCCTTGGGGCAACCTGGGAACTGGGCCCAACTTCCTGCTATTCCCTTTTTTGAGCTCTTGGTGGAAATGCCAATAGCTGAAGGAGGGCCCCAGATACAAAGGGTGGAAGACTCCATCCTGCCCCAGTCTGGGAATGTGATGAGAAATACAATCACCCCAGCTGGGCCTGCTGGCACAAGACTGATCAGCCACAGAGATTATGGGATGGTTGTCCCAACCCATCAATAAAACCCAGACCCTCTTTCAGACAGCAGTGGGAGGCCACTGGCCTGGAGGGTGACCTCTGAGTGTACAATATCTTCTCTGGCCACCAGGCAAACAACCCAGTGCCAATAGTGTGCCAGGCCAACACAGGCAGCAAGGTGCCTGTCCAGGCCCTGAGACCTCAGACCCCAAACCTCCAAGTGGCCCTGTGTTTAACCAAATGGCCCTGACCCATGACTGGACATTACTCTGATGAGCTGTCCAGGTGCTTGCTCAGTCAAGGCATTGGACTCCTCTGCCTCCTCACTCATGTTTATTAGTCATATTAGTCAACAGAAACCTTCTCTTCCTTCTCCAAGCACAAATTCCTGCTGAGATTCAAACAGCAAGAAGCACAACCAGGACCATCTGCATTCACTTAGGATGTGGAATAAGTTCAGATTGGAGTAAGTGGACATGAGTTGGGGTATCTGGCACCCTCCCAAGCTTTGGGGTGAATGTTCCCGACAGAACCAAAAAAGGGCAACTGTGCTGGCTGGTGTGGATTGAGTGCCAGCCTGAGAACCAAAGGGTCATCGGTTCAATTCCCAGTCTAGGGCATATGCCTGGGTTGCAGGCCAGGTCCCCAGCTGGGGGCCCACAAGAGGCAACCACACATTAATGTTTCTCTCCTTCTCTTTTCCCTCCTTTCCCCTCTCTAAAATGAGTAAATAAGTAGAATCTTTTTTAAAAGAGTAGGGGAAGAAGGGGGGCTATCCACCCCACCTTATAAGGGAAAAGCCTGAGCTTTAAAAGGAAAAAATGGTACCCACAGGCACAGGGCTATTCACGTTTAGGGCCAGGTGGGACAGCGTCCAGGTGAGACATGTCCCACACCACTCCTCTCAACACGAGGTTGGATAATAGCCCTGATACTCTAAAACATGCTGGGGCTGCCCCCAGGTATGTGGAGCCATTGGGAGGCTCACCCACCAGCCTGATGCATGTCCTTATGTCCCTTCACTGTCAGCATGATGAGCTACCCAAGGTCCTCTCCTGACTCTGGGATATCATCCTTGCCTACCATGACCTCCTTGGAACCAGCAATCAGGTGCCCCAAGCCCTGTCCAGACCACAACTAATAGACCAACCTTCCCAGAACCTTGGTGCCCTACTTCACCGATGACATGGGGGTTATCCACCTACCTCATTTTGACAGGTGATAAGGAGGGCAGTGTGAGCCTCCCCAGCTCCCACAGATGGGCTGACACCGCTGCACAGAGGCTGCCAGGCCCCACCTAGGCAAGGGCAGGTGCCGCCACACCCGGCAAGGCTGGGAAACCCCCCATGAGCAGATGCTACTAACTCTTGGGAAGGACCCATGGTGAAACTTTTGGCTCCTGACATGTGCTGGGAGTGGGAGGAGACAGCAGGCACCCCCACAACAAGGAGCCAAGCCTGAGGGATGGTGCTACCTGCTCACCTGACCCCCCCCCTCTGCCAGTGACCTCCATTCAAGGTGCTGAGGAGTAGCGCAAACCCACAAACTTTTGCACCTCTTGGTACTAAGGGGTCTTTCTAGTGCCTGAGAAACAGGCCTTCCCGGCAAATTGATTACCTGGCTTCCCACCCTGGGGGCTGAAGCAGTCTGCTCGGGAAGGTGGGCGATGGTTGGCGGCTGGGGCTGCGACAGCATGGGGGTCGCTGGCTGCAGAGGGGTGGTTCTCACAGTCTGTGCCGTGTGGAGGGGAGAAGGGGGAATGTCACTGGGCACCATCTGTGGAAAGGCTGCCTGGTACACAGGCTGGGCCGGGAGCTGGGCCACGGCAGGATGGATGGGCAGGGCAGCCGTGCCCTGTGGGGCCACAGCCAGCAGAGGGACGGGAGTGGTGGCAGCTGCCACATTTGGCATAAGGGTCTGGCATGGCACGGCCAGTGGGGCCCTGGCGGTGTGGGGCAGCTTCAATGCCGGCATAGGCATGGCTGGTGACATAGGCAAGGGGGCAGCAGCACTGAGTGGAAGGCTTGGCAAGATCACAGTAGGTGAGAAGTATTGAGATGGAGGAGGCACAGCAGGCCCACTTGCAGCCAGCAGGTCGGAGAGGGCTGTAGGGTGGCTGTCGATTGTGGTCAGTGGAGCAACTGGTGGGATAACAGGAAGTGGAGGCATCTGAAAGAGACGTGAGTCTGTCAGCTCCCTGGGGCTCAGCCCCACTGGAAGCATGCCTGCCCCATACAAGAAGAGCCACAACCCTTGCAGGTTCTGCCTGAGACACTTCCATGCAGCAGCTACTGAGGGCACCCAAAGGTAAACCCAATTTAAATGAAACCAAGTGCATGACATGTTCAACCAGAGAAGGAAAGGCAGAAGGGTGAGAGAAGAACCTGTGGGAGAGCCTCCTTAGGCACCACCATGGAGGTTCCAAGGATGGGTGGCGCAGCTCAGATCCAAGGGATCACAGAAGTGACTACCAGCTTCAGTTTTCTTTCAAAAAGGCTAGGATAGTTAGAGTCACCACACAGGCCCCAAATATCTGAAATTACTTTGCCTGATTCTCCCTAATCTGCATAAATACACACAGACCAAATTCTTTGTCAGGTTTTCTTGGGGAAAGCAGAGCTCTGAGGCCCCACAATAGCTGTGCCATGAGGACTGGGGGAGAATGGCACCTCCACACAGTGGAAGCTCCCAAACCTTCCATGTCTAGTGGAAAACACATGATATCTAATCTCATGGGCTCTGCACTTTACACACTTCAGCAGATTCTCCAACAGTTTCCTTTCTAAAACAGTGATTTTTAACTGGTGTGCTGCAAGAATATTTAAAACATGCAATACCCAACTACTTAGTCAGGGGCACTGACCTCTTTTACTTCACATTATCAAATAAAAAATAACTACAGACAACACACCTGGTATCAATGGATTAAAATTATATCTATTTTTTGGTCTGATCAGCAAAAAGTGTTTCTTTTGTTGTGCCACAGAATTTTAGTAATTAGTTTGTATGTGTCATGAGATAAAAAGGTTGAAAACTGTTGCTCTAAAATAAAGCCTTTTACCCTGGCTGGTGTAGCCATTTGTTAGAACATTGCTCCATACACTGAAAGGTTGTGGGTTCAATTCCCAGTTAGGGCACATGCCTGAGTTGCAGGTTCACGGAGCTCCCCAGTCACGGAGCCCATGAGAGGCAACCAGTCAATGTTTCTCTTTCTCTCTCTCTCTCCCCCCCACACTCCGGCCCTTCCTCTTTCTCTCTCTCTTTAAAAGCAATGAAAAAAATCCTCAGGAAAAGATTTTTTAAAAATTAAAATAAAGCCTTTCTGGTGGCAAGCACACAAGCATCACATGATCAATGACTGTGTACGATTTCAAGACAGTGAAAATGTGCAGACTGACTTTTGTGTATTTGAAAAGCAACAAAATGCCATGACCACTAACAAGCAAGGTGGTGGCTTAACTAGACAGTGAAATCAACTATAACATGACATGAAAAGGACCAGGTCAGGTGACAGGTGACAACAGACAGGTAAGAACCTTCTGGGTACTGAGGTAAACCTCACAGATGCTCACGCCTTTCATATAAAGCAGCACTTCCCATCATAGACCTGTGATGCCATACCATGAGGTGAAAGCTGTCCCCACGACCATCAGTGATATTAGCCTGGGCGATAGAACCCGACCACCAACTATGTGCTATCAAGTCACTACTAATCTGACACCGCCCGCCCCTGCCTCTAAAGAGCCATGGTCAGTATGGCCTTGAATGGCTCCAATGATAGGCAGTGACCATAGCTGTGTATTCACAGCTCTTTTCTGGCTTTTCTCCATCCCAGATGTACCCAATACAGACAGAAGGCAGCAGGCACCAAAGCTCCACTGAGGGAGGAGGGTAGAGAACAAGAAGGATAAGGTACCTGTGGAGGGACTTGAGTGAGTGGCTGCAGGGGCACTGGTGGCATCTGGATGGGCTTCAGCTGAGACGGGGCCACCTGAGAGGTCGGAGCCAGGTACGGAGGCAGATGGGGGGGCACTGACTGGAGAGGACCCACAGGCTTCGGGCCCAGGACCTGTGGCAGGGGTGCTGGCTGGGCCAGTGGAAGAGGCTGGAGGGAGAAGGAACTTCTCTTAGACCAGCATCCTGATGAGAGATGCCCCAGGTGCTTAGACATGACAGAGAAAATCAATGAGTGAGTGTGCACACACATGTGCACACATGCATGCCTACCACCAACACATACTTGCGCACATAATCACATACATGTGTGCATGTGCACACCCAGCACACCCAGCAGGGACCCAAGGACAAGTGTATCTATAAGAATTGCTATGTGTGAATGAGCCCCCTCCAAGTGACATGGGTCATAAATTCTGCAAACACAACAGACTGACCTGCCCCCCCAACTCTCATCTGTACCCTAGGACCAGGCCAGCTAAAATTGTCAGGGGACACTAAGGCACCAATGGTGGTCACAAGGAGGGGCAGTCTGCACTCACCTGGTGGCCTGAGGGCATGGGCTGACCTGGGCCAGTAGGCACAGGGGCAAAGCTCATGGCTGGCTCTGGGAAATGCTGTGGTGGGAGCGAGGCAAGAGTGGGGAGTGGGACGAAGCCCATTGACAGGCCAGGCTGCAAAGAGCGTCAGGTGCCACGCTCAGTGGCTGCCCTGAGGACCCCCACCCAGCCACGAGCTTGACAGCCACAGGGACATATCTCCTACTCCCTGTGCCCATTGTCCTGTCAGAGATAGTTTTCCTAGGAACATGACTTGCAAAAGGAAGGTGTGGTGGTCCCTATACCAAGAATGGTCACAACTCCTCCTAACCAAGGCTGATGTTCTGGAACATTAGCACCACAGAATATTATGCAACAGTGAGAAAAGACCACTATTAAGGGCTTGTGGGACTGTGGAGAAATGCCTGTTATGATACCAATGGGGCAAAGATACAAACACATATGCTTCCTCTCTATAGACTGTGTAACACATATAGTATATATACATTCACAGAATACAGAAACATGGGAACAAGACGGGGGGCCTGCACTGGACAGAGGGGCGCTCTGCAGAGCTGGGGTCAGAGAAATGGGGCTGCAGCAGACAATGAATGGCACAGAGTCAGAAATCTGAGCAGTAGGTGTTTAATGCTATTCAGAACTGCTGCTAATTTATTCATTTTTAGGTGCAGTAATGGTACTGGATTTTGTTTTCAAAACCCAAAGATACAGACTTTACATTTATGGGCAAATTGTCTTTCTGTCTAGGATTTACTTCAAAATAATGGGAAAGTGAGAAGCAGGTGGGGAGATGGAGGAAATAGGCTTGAACACAGAGATGACTGAGGGAAGAACTTGGCTCTCCACAGTGACAGGGAAAGGTCTCTAACTGGAGGTTTTCTGGATGAACCAGGAAACAGTAGTTTGTCATCTGAAAACTGTTAGTTGGCTGTTTCCATGTTTCACAGTAAAAACATTATGAAAAGCAGCACAGGTGGGATCAAACCTGTCTGTGCATTACCTGCGGCAAGGTGAGGAATGAGTGGCCAAGTGCACCTGCTCCTCCAGCCCCAGCCCACTGAGATTTAGGCACAGGAGGCCCCAGAGGAGTGGCTCTGCTTCCAATCCCTTCAACCTATTCTCCTCCTTCAATAGGTTCTGGAGGTGCATCATGATGATAACCCTCTCCAGGAGACCCGGGTGCACCCTGGGGACTCCCTGTAGTCCCCGCCCTTCTGTCCAAGCTTTTTTTTTTGTATAAACAGACAAGAGAAAGTGCTCTGGTTGAGTCTTGGGGTACATCCTGGCTGGCCAGCCTTTGACCTCCCTGTGCTCGGCCTTCCCAGTCTGCAAGCAGAAGCTGGGACAGGCAGAGGGCTGCCCGACTGGCAGACCAAGAGCCCACTGTGGTTCGGCCGTTCTCTGATCTTGTGCCTGGGAAGGCTGAAGACCTGCTCCGCTCTAGCACACCCAAGCCCAAAGCCAAGAAACAAAGCTCCGAGCAAGAAGGAGCCTTTTCCTAAAGAACTTGCTCATGCCATTTACAACTGTATTTCATTTCATTTCATTATTTCATTTCTTTTCATTTTCATTTTCTTTTCATGTCATTATTTCATTTTTCATTCATGTCATGTCATGTCATGTCATGTCATTTCGACAAGCAAAACTGCAAATGTTAACTGCCAATGAGTCCTGGACTCTGATCAGCAGAGGCAAACGCTTCCACTTCTTTTCCAAAGGGAGTCTCTGAGCCCAAGTGGACAATGGGAGAGAGGAGAGATGGGTAGTCAGAGAGGCTGCAGTACCCAGAAAGTGGCCACAGGGAGGGAGTACATGGGTGGAAGTTTGAGTGAGAGCCCGGGGAACCAGAGCACCAGGCAGGAGTAGCTCCCACAGGAAGGGGCATGGGCCCTGACCAGCTTCTGGGTCTAGGAGATCGAAATCTCCCTCTGGACCCCATTCCACCACCTGCTTCAAAAGCAACCTCTCTGACTGCCTAGGAGTGCAAAACAAGCAATTGCTTTGCTTTCTTTGGCATTAAAAATAAATCATAGTTGAAAAATAGATGCCAAATGTGACCTTTCACCTAGCAATTTCCATTTCATTTATTAGGTTTACAAATCATTCCACAGACATAAGCATGAGGCCCTTTCAATTCTGCTTATTAAACATCACTGAAAATGTTTCCCATGATTCAACCCCTTCCACACCTCTAACTTTTAATGGTTGTGTAATACCTGGTAGAGAGGTATTATGTAGCCCCCATCAGTGAAGCTAGACAGACAAAATCAAAGTTTTCATTCTTATAAATGATGCCTAGCTTATCACAGCTTTACACACACTAGGTGGCACTGGGCTCTGATTTTTGTATTTTCTCACCAGGCAGGTCTCTCAGGGTAGGTCACAGACTGCTCCAGCTAACAACAAGGATGGATCTCCCGAGCACCTGCTTTTGTATGGCTGGAAACTGACCACTGGCCAGCACAGCCTAGATGGCCCCTTACAGACTCCAGGCTATGTGGATGGGGGTCTCTGACTCACCGTGGCCAGCTGCTGGTAGGCCCCCAGCGAGGGCAGGCTGTGCGGCAGGACAGGCCCCTCGCTCATGCTTACGGGGGGACTGCACACACTCTGGGCGGTGAGCGGTGCTGCATCTGCCAGTGAGCCCAGCACCACGCTCTGCTGGCTGCTCTGCGAGTCCGAGTACACGGTGGAGCCCTGGCCGCTGTCGAACGTGCTGTCCGCTGGGGAGGACAAAGGCACGGCTCAGATTGGGAACCCCAAACATCACCCCCATGGCATTCTACACAAGGCGCAGGGAATGCAAATGCGGGCTTGTACATAAATGCTCAGCTCATCCATGTTTTTTTCTGTAAAACAAACACTTGATTGTGCTTCCAGATCATGTAAGTAATGAATGTGCATCATTTTACATAATCAACTACAGAGTAATACAGGGGCTAAAAGCATCACCCAGAGATGGCCCTGACAACCCACCACACTGCCTAACACCTGGAGAGGGTGCCTTGGTCCACCATGGATTCCAGGAGGGCACCTCATACAATCCTCAAAGGCAAGCCAGCTGCTTCCATCATGGCTCAGACAGGGACTTCACCTCACACAGAACCAAACTTGGCCTGAAAGTGAACCTTCATTCAGCTTTTCAAAGGAGCAAGGGGTCTTGGGAGTCTGGAATGCTTAGGAAAAGTTCCAATCAATTATCACCTGTGTTTTATGATGGGGAGGGGGTCTCAAGACGCTAACCACCTTCACTTACAGTGAAGGCAAAGGGTCTGAAGCGGGAGATCTGAGTCCAAATATATCTCCTTAAGTCATGGGCCAGGTCTAACTAGATTGGAAAACAGGGTTGACAGGGCTGAAAAGGCTCCCACACCACAGAAAGGCCGTGAGAAGAGACCTGGATGCTCCATGGCCTCACCTGCAGTCAGCCTAGCACAGCCAGTGAAATTGGCCAGTGGATGCAGCCACCCACACCTGGGTGTGGGGTGCGGGGCCACTGAGGAGGGAGCAGACAGGACCACATGGCCCACAGGCTCCTCTGACCAGACGTACTTGGGAGGGCAGGTCACCTGTGTGGCTGTGCCAATAAAAAATGAAAAACAAAAACCTATTTAAAATGGCACTTCCAGTTTATTGCTTCCAAGTTCCAAAAGCTACACAAACATTACAATTTGTCACCTATGAACACCAAGCTATTTCTACAGGGGGACACCCTTCAGATTGTCAACACTATGTCTATTTGCAATTTAAACAAATAAAGTTAAAGGGCAATCTTGTCAGTTTTGTATAAAAATAATTTTTCCCAGGACTGACTAGAACTTTCTTTAACCTAGAAGACAGAAGTGTTGAGGTTTAATTATACAAAACCAATGAAACAAGTAGCTATGATTTTTAATGATGTGTCTGGTAATCATTTCCATTTATACAGAGAGAAGAGAGGGAGAAGCAGGTTCTGTCACCAAAAAGAGACAGACAGACAAAGACACAGAGACAGAGAAAGAGTAAGTGCATGAGAGACAGAAAAAGACAGAGAAAGAAAGAGAAACAGAGACAGAGAGAGAAAGAGTTGCACAAGAGAATGTGAGAAGACCTGACAAATTTCACGTAAGGTACCATGGCTGGTGCAGCCCAGTGGATTGAGCGCAGGCCTGTGAACCAAAGGGTCGCTGGTTCCATTCCCAGTGCACATGCCTGGGCCCCGGGCCAGGTCTCCAGTAGGGGGCACGTAAGAGGCAACCACATACTGACCTTTCTCTCCCTCCCTTCCCCTCTCTCTAAAAACATGTAAATAAAATAAAATATTTAAAAATTGTGTTTAATTACTTAAAAAGTCACATATAGCAAACTCTAACTATATTAAGTAACTAAAAATTTTTAAAGTGTTATTTGTATAATTAAAATTAAATTTTAAAAATAGTTTTTAAGCTGATCAACAAATTACCTTCTTATCATAGTCATTGGGTGCTGGACCAAGCCCTGCCATTGAGCTTGGTCTGGACTGTAGTGGGCAACTAAAAGGACAGATAACGAAGACTCATAAAATATGTTTGCTCTACCTGTCAGTGTGTCTGCCCATCGTGTTACCTATGATCAGGCCTTTTCTCTGGTGACGCGTGTGCTGCCTGATGTCCCTGTCAGTTCACCTTCACAAAGTACAGTGTGTTCTAGCCATCCACAGGCCCTGTGACTAGAGGCACGACTGTGCACAGGCTTTCTATTCTGACCTAGAGCGAGTGCTGAGAGTATGCAAAGTGCCCTGACTTGGGAAACAGGGAGACACAGGGGTGTGTGTGCAGGAGTGTATGTGTGCGTACATGTGAATAATTACATGTGTAGGCTATCTCTGGAAGTTAATTAAAACACAGGCAACATCAGTGGCCTCCCAGGAAGAAAATTAACTGGCTTTTGCTCTTGGATTTTTTGAATTGTATATTGTATGAATATATCACCAACTCTAAAGAAATTACAATAAATGGGTAAAACCATTTTATCCCTAAACGTTTATTTCTCACGGCAGAAAAGCATGGCTGCTGCACAAAGCACACAGAATCCTGAGTCAGACAGGAAAGAGTCTGCACACAAATGACCACCCTGAAGTGAACTCATCTTTTGCACTCATCTGTTTATACAGTGGGTCATACCTGACATCTTACCACAGTGGAGTGGATTTTAGGTCCTACACTCTCTTCAAAGTTCAATGAAAGGCAATTTCTTAATTCCTATCCTAGAAATTGTTCGACCAACAATTACATTTTTAAAGTGTATAATGCTTTTTTCTACAAAAAGTTTATGCTCTTCAATGAATTTTTTTGGTTAATCATTAAATGGAACATGATGATGTAGCAGTATTGTTCTCCAAAACAAGCATGAGTAGGTTGGAAAGAAGCAAACAGTAAGCAAACTGTCTCAAAGTGACAGCCAGCCACTAGTCTTAAATAGCCAACTTTGAAAAATATTCAGCTATTTTAATGGTAAATGAAGGATGTGCCTCTTAAATAATTCAAACAGACTATTTAGTTTTTCCACTTGAACAACCTGCAACAGTGGGCTGGGCAGGTTGAATAGCTCTGAAACTCCCTGTACTTTCTCAGAGACAGAAAAGGCTACAGCCTCCACACTCAGTTTACAGCTGCATTTTTGGGACCCTTGAGGGCAAAGGCTGAACTTTTTGCCCTCAAGTTTTTGTCTAGACTCTTTCAGTGGTCTAAGATGAAGACAGGTACAAAGCAATCCCACTACCCACCAGTAACCTCCATAAGAAATGAACGAAGGGTCTCAGGTTTCACACTAGAATAGAGGTAGTCTTGGGGATGGATGCTCCTGAAGACAAAGGTCACAGCAGCATGACTACTCAACTTTTGGTCCCCCGGGATGACAGTGTCCTGGCACAGATGCCCCCACCAGGTGCTGAGTACAAGGTGAGAAACAACCCTCAGGTGCCCCATGATGCTGAGACTGGTATCCTTCAGGTGGGGTAAGTAGCCGATTGAGCTGCTCCAATCCCTACTGGCTTTGAGCACAGGAGGTCTGAGTCTACCTGTACATTTGTCCCCACCTGTCCTGAGAAGCTAGACTTTAGCAAGCCTTAAACCTCTGTGGTCACAGATTTTTGTGCAGCATCATGGATACTCCCAATGCCCTCCCTGGAAGAACACTCGCCCACACCAATCTACCACACCCACAGAGTGAGCTGGTGGGCGTGTGGGGAGAGCAGCACTCACAGGTCAAGGAGGTAGCACTAGCTGGCAGCATGGTGGGTAGGAGGTGCTGGTCAGCCTCAGGCTCCTCGGGCTCCAGTGGCCCAGTCTGTGCATGATAAGTCACCTGGACCTGCAAGGGCACATGCAGGCCCCTGGCCTTGTCAGGGCTGCCTGTGTCCTGCTGCTCCTGGGGTTGCAGCACTGGCCAGATCCTTTCCCGCCGCCACTGGATCAATGCCACGCGGTCACGGATGGACTTGGCCACAATCTTCATATCGCTCTCGTGGAAGAAACCCGATTCAATCTGCAAAGGAAGTCACCTGCCATTACTGGCACATCGCCATTCACACATCCCACTGCTGAGCCTGTCCTATCACCTGTACCACCACCCCACCAATTATGGAGTCTTTGCCCAAAGTCCCCTCCTCAGGGCCCCTCACCCACTTCTTTCAAAGATGCCCTTGTCATTCCATAAGGATGTAACCTTCAGTCATTGACTGTAAGTCCACAGGGAGAGTGACCATCTGAACCTGCATTAACATGGGCTGTATGAGCAAAGGGAAAGGGGTACCCTGATGTGCCTCCCACCCTGGAATAGCCCACCATCTGCACCCTGAGGCTTCCTGGAGCCCAACAATGAAGCTGCTCAAGGGTAGGAATGTGGTCCTGGCCAAAATATACATGCTTGTGGACAGGGACAACAAAGCGAGAGACCAATGCTGTTCTCAGCATTCTCTGAGAAGTCAAGGAGACCGGGGACAAAGGCACATTCTGTAGCTTAAGACCAGGAAAGTGTGCACCATGCCTAACAACATTATGAACCTGATTTAGCCAACAGAGAGTTGGGGAGCATCTGTAAAGAAGCCAGGCCTCCCCAGGAAATATGACGGCTCTCTCCAAGGAGATTCATGACCAAACCACAAGAGAAGGGAAGCCAGATTCTTTGGCATCAGCATGGGATCCCCATGTGGAAAGGAGAAAACCAGAGAGTAAACCTCATGGTGCTGGTTAGGGATCTGTGCAGCATCAGAAATACTCCCAATGCCCAACCTGGAAGAACACTCACCCCCACCGTCTACCCACAGTTTTCAATGTACAACAGACACACAAATGTCAACAGCTGTATGTGTGTACATGAGTAATAGCACATGGATGCCAGAACTCAGCCACTGAGATTTCAGCAGGAAGAGGACAGGGGGCCTGGGCATCTCCTTCTGCCAGAAAGTGAAGACATGTGTAGAGAATGGAGGACGTGCAGGAACACACAGAAGCTAGCACCCAGGGCTACCCACTGGCCAAATCTGCGACATTCTAAGCATCAGAATACACAGTGACACCATAATGATTTGAAGGACATGTCTGCAAATGCATATCTGAGGAACACAAATGGTCTGTGGTGGCAGGAGTGACAGGTATCACTGTTGGTATGAGGTTACACAAAGCGGGGTGGGGGAGCAGTCCGTGGATGTGCATTCTGTCTGCTTGTCTCTCTGCCTCTGTCTTTCTCAGTCTCTCTCTCTGTGCCTCTATCTCATTCTGTGTCAGTCTGTCTCTATCTCTCTCTGTTGCTCTCTTTTTCTCAGTCTCTCTGTCTCTGTCTCTCTCCCTCCTGTGGGTCACTGGCTCACATGAAACCACATCATGAATGGCCCTGAGGAACAACCTACTTGGCTGGAAACTGAGCCTCCCCCCAGCAGCTAGGTGAGTGCGCTGAGATGCCGAACCCTAGCCATACCTTATGAGGGACCCTCATCCCAACCACCTTGCTAAGCCACTCCTGGACTCCTGACCTTGGAGGCTGGAGGGAACTGTGTGTGCACAGTGCAAAGTTGGGTCATTTGTTTCACAATAAGAGGTAACTCACCAATGGAGCATATAATCTACTGAGTAAAACCAAACCATGAGTTCACAGAGATAGAAATAAATAGAAAATTTTATGAAACTGGGACATTCACATAGTTCCAAAGTACCTTTCCACAAAACAGTTATTAATGATGATTGCTCCCTGGCAGACACTCCTCAACCACATGATCACAGGGGGAGTCCTTAGTGGGCTGGTCTGTGCCCAGTGTTCTCACAGATGCACTGATGGGTTGATAGGGAGCTAGGTGATATGACAGGCTGGCTGTGCCCTTTAGGGTCAGACTCCTGAAAACAGACACAATCCTGACCAGTACCAGCAGTGAAGGTGTTGCTGAACCACCAAGAACCCCGAGTGGGGCAGAGATACACTCCAGTTCTGACTGCATAAGCAGCTACGTGGGAAAAACCTTGTCCATGGGAAGCTGACACAGAGAACCCTAGGTTGTAAGGTATCAGGCTGTGATATCATCTCAAACAATTCTTGATCCATGTTTGCAAATTTCCTGTCAGTTTGCAACTACTTCAAAAACATTTCAGAAAATGACTCTGACAAAATGAGCCATGCAGCACCAGGGTGAGAGCAAAAGGCTGAGCCTTGGGTCAGCCCTGTCTGTCACCCAGGGGACCCACACAGCAACTGAAAGAAGGTGCCCCATTGACACTCCTGCCTGACACTTCTATTTTCTGCCTATGACCCAGTTTCTCTTCCAGCTCCATCTTTATAGATGTCCCTCTCTCCCCACCTCCAGCCCAAGCAATTTCTTCTATTTTTTCCCAATCAGGAAAGAATTTAGCCACATTGTATGTCACCCTGAATGTCCCATTAGCTGGAGGCTGTGAAAGCAGAAGGAAGAGCTGATACCCTGGCCTCAAGAACCCCCTAGGCTGGGCTACAACTCCCTCCACTTTCCTAGGGGTCCACACTGAGAGGATGCTTCCAGATCAGAACGAGCCCAGGCCCCAGAGCCCTGCCCCTTTCTCAGACTCCCAGGCACCATCATTCTGACCCGCTGCTCCATCCCAGTTGCTGCCCGAGGACCTGCTGGGAGCTGACTTTAGGCGTGAATTTAGAGGGAGGGGAGAGAGCAGCCCCGCCTGCCTCCCAACACCCAGAGGAAGCCTCATCAGAATGAGCATCAAGTTTGGGAACGTCTTCCACCCTCCACACTCACTGACGTTGTCTGTTAAGACACAGGCAGCCCAAACACCATTTCACGTCCCCAGACCAATAGTGTCATGATGCCTCTGTGCTCTCACTGAGTTACCTTGTGAAGTCACCATCCCTGTATGACGACTGACACTATGTTTCACTCATGGTCATCTCTGTTACTTTAAGTTTTGAAGAAAAATGCGTGTTGAGTTAAAGGTGTGTTTCAGCAGCCAGGGCAGTGAGCCTCCTCAGGGTCCTGGCATTGGTCCAGTGACAGCTCCAGAGGGCCCCTGACCCTAGTGTGAACTCTAGTGTTTATGTATGGCCAGGAAGGTCAGAAATAGGCCAACAACTAGCCATAGGTCCCAGCATCAACCACAATGCCCAGCCAGGAGCCAGGAGCAGTGGCTAGGTAGGGCTGGCACACTCACATAGGACAAGACCTGGGAGAATGCAATGCTTTCAACTCAGCTCCACCTAAGGCACTGGGCTTTTCTGTCTCTCAAGAAAAGCGAAGGGGCAAGGAACAAAAGGAATGAAGGAGAAACACTGGGCCCAGGGGCCTCTACTGTGAACAGGCAAAGACGCCACAGACCCACCTGGTCAGTCAAGTGCCAAGGACTCATGAGGATGGACCTGGGGGTGGGCAGCTGTGCTGCCAGAGAGGCCAGCATTCTAGGTTAGGAATAGTCCTCTAGGGAGGGTGGCCAAGTCCCAGGAAGAACAGCTGGATCAGAGAACCCTGAGCAGGAGGAGGTAACTGGTAGAGTGAGGCACAGATGGCACCGGGAAGCACTACCACGTGCAATCTCTTTGTGCCAACACCCCTGTTGTCCTCCTGTTATTGCACAATTGACTCAGCTTGGCTTCCACTAAATTTCAAATCCCTCCTGGGGCAGACAGGTTCCTCTGGTGCCCACACAAATGCAGAACAGGCACAGTGCTCTCAGGGAATGGGAGGGCTGCTTGCCACCTATGTCTCCTGAGCTGCTGGCACTTTCCCTAACCTCAGAAGCCCAGTGAGACATACCCCTCAAGGCTGTCCCAAGAACCCACCTTATCTCCTGCCATGTGCTCAGGGTGCTCTACTGGCCAGGCCCCCCAACCTGAGGTCCCTCCAGGACATGGCACATGACCCATACTCCTGAACCTTGGCTTACAGGATACTGGCCTATACAGCTCCTTGTTTGTCACTTTTGTTTGTGCTTTAAATTTCAGCAGAGTGGGAAGGGATCATGGGTAGCACAAGGAGAAACTGTGGTGCTACATTCACAGAACAGCTGTGCTGATAATTACCTTAATGCGACTCTTAGTAAACACGTAGCGATTCAACAACACATAAAGCAAAGTCACAGAAAACTCTCCCAGAAGCACAGAGCTAAAAGACCCATTAAATCCACTTATAGTATGTGTCTATTTCTGGGAGCAGGGATGGACCAACAGCTGGGAAGGTACAGGGTGGTCCTGACCTGGGCTCCAGGACATCAGTGGGATGTCACACACACTGTGAATGCCAGACCAGTAGGAGCACAGGCCGCTGTCTGATAGAAGTTGGGACCCTGACTGACCGTGCAGCACCCACTCCATGCCACACTGACCTACCATACTACCAAGCCTCATGGGTCCCCACCCCACCATATGTCTGAGCCCCAATAACCCCATCAACCTACCCTTGGTCTGTGGCTCCCACACCTTATACGGCATGGCAAGCCTCTGTTTCTTCATCTGATCAGGGCCTGAAGAAACAGCAGGAAGACCTGCTGCCCACAGGAGCTATATAGCTATATAGGTGCCCTCGCTGCACTTTTTCCAGACCACCCTCCAGCATCTGGCCTACTTCCTACTCTTAAAACCCACTCAAGGCCAGGAAGTCCAGTTTTGAAGAATCTGTTGGCCATACTCTTGTGACTTGTGTACACTTTTGGTAGATGTGCCATATTCAATAAAACATATGTTTACAAAAAGAGAAAGAGAGACATACACTTCCTATGGCTATGACAGCACATCCAAGCACAAGTTCTTGACAGTAACCATGCTTTTACTTCCGCTCAGTTTTTCCGAGGAATCAATCTTGTTAATTTCTCATGGATATATTTCCTCTCTCAGTGACACTGAACACCCCCTATTAGTCCTGCTCCTTCTGGGCCTTCTAGGCCACAATTCCACTTGAAAAAAAAAGTAAAACTCAAAGGTCCACTTTTATGCAAATTCAGCAAGAAATCTGGTCAAAACAAGGCGTTTCTGATATACCAAAGGCCCCTGGCCCCCTCCAGGTCTGAGGAGGTCTGTGCTCACATGGCTCCTGAATCTATGCAGCAGGGGATTTCCAAACTACATTGTCCTTCATAGATACACTCGACAAACAGTCCTCATTCTGACTGCCCTCTCACTGGAGCCACATACCCTTTCTGACTTTGTTCTAATCTTTGGAAACCACAAGCATTCAAGGCATGCACCATGATTTGCACAGCCCACCCACCACCAGCAAGTACCACGTTACCATCTCCTGTGCCACATCGTCCGGTGTCTCCCTCTCCAGATCGAAGGTAAACTCTATGGCCCCATTGTCCTTGGGCTTGCCCTTCAGTTTCTTGGGGTCCTCGACCCAGAGTCGCAGAGCAATAGTGGACTTCCTGCCATGGTCCTCCTCAGCCAGCTCCACCCTTACGCCTGTGTCCTCCGCGAAGAAGGCGTGGCTGAGCAGGTCCTTGATCTGGTACCTGGAGAGGGAGCAGCTGAAGGGCATACCTGGTAGGGGGACCTGGACATGGTTGCTAGGGTTGAGACCCACCCAGCTCTTTCCATAAAGTTATGACTGCACCACCTGCTGGTCATGCTCTATCCCTCCAGGGGGCACACAACAGTTTACATGTGCATTACCTAACCCCTGGGGGAGGAGAAAACACATCTCGCTCTGTAGTATTTAAGACTTTTCTCCCTGATTACAAAAACATGCCCATGGTGACAGACTCAGGGAATATAACCCTTCCTTAGAGAAGGGTTATAAGCCAGGCTCTGCTGTAGAGGCATAGGCCTGCTGAGAGGCTTATAAACTCAGTCGTCACAAAGATACCTAGCTCTGTTAAGAATGAACTGGACTCACAAAGAGTCCAGAAGCCCATATTCAGGGGATTCTCTGGAAGCTCCTCAGGACAGGGCAGATATGTTGCTGGGTGCTGCCTCAGTAACCACTCTGCCCCCAAACCAGCATCCCAAACACTAGTCCCTGTCTCTGGCACAATGGCTCCCTCTAGAATCAAATCTGTGGCCACCATGAGCTGCAACCTCCAGAGGCCCGCACCTGGGGATGGCTACCACCATGAAAGGCGGATACTGGGTGAGGCCACCCTCAGTGAGGCCAACAAATGCTGTGGGGTCCCTGGGGAGGGGTCAAGCTCATGGTCCCTGGACTCTGTAGGTCGTGATCTAGGAGGTGATCTCACAGGGACAGCTGTGAAGACTCTTTGGCCCTATATGGTTTTTCTAGTACTTTTCTGATATGGGTTATAGTTCACAATTTTTAAGTATTTTTCCTTAAAAAATAAAACATGATAACCTGCAGGGGGTAGGAGAAAATGCCCAGAGATCAGGACAGGGCCCCTGCCTGAGAGGTGATGGCTATGGAAAAGCATAGTGATCAGTGCTGGAGACAGTGACCAGGGTGGCCATGTGCTGTGTATGCAAGGACTGACAGGGCACATGATGGGGTGAGGAAGAGGTGGTGGAAGATGAGGAGGAATGAGAGGGTGGAGGATAGGTAGGAGAAGAGAAGCAGGGGGTAAGGAAGAGGGAAGAAAGCTCAGAATACATGCCTAGTTTCCCAGTGACCACCAAAGGAAGTAAGAGCTGGTTTTGGTGGCATCTGATGTGAACATGAAAACCTGTAGGGGAGTTTAGGATGGGTAAGACAGAGGGGTGTGGAATATACAGCCTGGAGTTAAGGAGAGGGGGCAGGATGAGACACACTGGGAAGCCTGGGCATGGGGGTATCGTGCAGGCCAGGAGAATGAATGGGTCCACCAGGGACAACACAGAGAAAAAGCAAGGGGTAGAGTCAGGGCCCGTGAACCCCTCACTACAGGCAGGGTAGGCGAGAAGCAGCCAGCAAAGGAGAGAAGGGGGCTCCAGGGTAGTCCCCAAAGTCAAGGAAGCTTTGACTTCGCTTATTGCAGGGGCTTCCCACCTACTGCACTGCTCAGCTGACTTGCAAGCACCTGGGCCTGAAGCAGCCTGTCTCCCAAAGCTCCGTATAGGCCCTGGACTCTGTAGGTCCTGATCTCGATTTCAGAGGGAGATTTCAGAGGGAGAAACACTCCAGATTCAGTAACACTTGGAACTCACCTCTCCTCCTTGTTTTTGCAGATACACTCCCCAATAATCTCCTTGATTTCTGGATCATGTACTTTTTCAAAGCTGGCCGGCTTGATGCCCTGAAGATGAGATGAGCAGGGTCACCTGACACAGAACTGGCCTCTACAAGGGATTTCTTACTTACCTCCCACTAACGCCTAAAGAAAAAAATGACAGGAAGGTAGAGGCTTAGAGGGTGGAAGGAATGTTGTAGTGAAGTCTGGAGAAGACAGACTGGGGACACACTTGCTCACTTTGATGCTTGGAGGAGGTGGGGTGAGGCAGGGTGGGTATGCCCGAGGCTTAGGGCCCCTAGTGCCACCCAGAGGGTCTTGGAGGCTGGAGGAGAAAATGGCCAGCCTTTCCACCATACCCTTGCTCAATGGTGCTGAGGATGTGATCTGTAGTCACTGCTACTGACGAAGGGCCACCAGAGACTCTGGTCCCACTGTGGCCACAGCAGGATTGACTCCCAAGGCCTGGTAGTTCAAGACTTTTGCAAACAACTGTACTGCACAGTTCTACCATTCAGGTCCCTGGTCAGTGACCAGGCCAGATAATGTGGCACGGGGTCAGTCCCTGTCTACCCAGGCCAGCAGACAGACCAGAAGGAGGGTCTTTAGGCTGTTATTCCCACATGCCAGCACTGACACCTCCAAGGCCGGCCAGTGGAGCTCTGACATCCCTCAGGTTCCCCCACCCCTCTGAAGGACATCGCCCTCTCCTGCCAGCACCATTGGGAGCTGCATACCTATCTGTGGGTCTCTGACCCACACCCACAGTGCCTCCAACCAAGGACCCTGCCTTCCTGCCTCAAAACCTCAGTAGCATGCAGGAGGCGCTCAGAGCAAACAAATGACCACTAACTCAGAATTAAGAACCAAAGAAGAAAGACAAGCTGTGACCTTCAGGGAGGGGGACAGTACAGAAGCAATGTGGGTATATAGAGGTCTGGACTCAAACAGCCAAGACCTGGGGGCCACAGAACCTAGTGCTAGGGGCACAGACAGAAAGTGACAGACTAGGGACCAGAAAAGCCACAGTTCAGCTCTCCTGACTTGGACACTCCTTCAGTGCTCCCCACCAAGTAGAACAATTGCACAGGGAGGACAGGATAATAGGGCCAATTAATTTCTGGGGACACACCAGAAGATGGAAAAGCCAACAGCCCCCAAATGGCCCACAGGAGGGGTTCCAGGGACAGGTAGCCTGGGCACCTGGCAAAGGCCCTAGCCTTGCAGCAATATGAGCCCCTAATTATAGCCTCCAGCTACTGCCCTAGAGCCCATATTACTATTACTGCTGTGTGGCTTCTACGTTTAACTCAGAGACCTGAGTGAATACCATTGTTTCACCGTCTATGAAATGGCCTCGTCCCCTTCCTCACGCAGCTGCTGTGATTTCGCAAAGACAGAGCCAGTTCAGTGGCCAGGGACTCACACAGGTGACCTTCCGATAGATCTGGGCAGCATTCTGGCACTCTGAGTAGGGGTACTCTGAGGTGGCCATCTCCAACATGCACATCCCGAAGGCGTAGACATCTACGGACTCGTCATAGTGCTCCTCGTACATCTCGGGTGCCATGAACTCAGGGGTGCCTGCGCCCAGGAGCAACAGATGCAGGGTCAGTGGTCATGGACCCAGAAGCCTCCTTTGCTCCTCATAGCCCAAAGCTTCCTCCCTCCTCCCCTATACACATGCCATGCCATCAGTCCTGGAATCCTGCTTCAAATAGGAGTGTTCTTTGGATAGAAGTTTCCAAAAATCCCCCCTAGACCTTCTTGATTTGGGGTTGAATCAGCCCACAGAGTGGGGGACTATTATTTCCCAGGAACAGAGTCTGTGTCTGAAATGCTGAAGGTGCCTCTCATTAAGGAGGCAGAACACAGCCAGTACACCCTCCCTCCACAACCCAGAACAGACAAAAACTTGTAGTCGCCACAGGGCTGTTTAAATTGCAAAAATTCAGATCGCAGTTCAATTCCCAGCCAGGGCACATGCCTAGGTTGCAGGCCAGTTCCCAGCAGGGGACCCACAAGAGGCAACCATACATTGATATTTCTCTCCCTCTCTCCTTCCCCTCCCCTCTAAAGATAAATAAATAAAATCTTTTAAAAATTGCAAAAATTCAGAAAGGTCCCAAGTATCCCAATAGGCACACCCTATGGCAGTGTCAGGCGGCACAGACAATGATCGGGGGGCAGCTGGACAGGTGCCAGTTACCTGGCAGGCACCGGCTAAGGTAGAAACTGTTTGTGCTTTCTAAGAGCAAAAGGTTAAAATAATATTCACTGGGAATTTTAATGGCCATGAAGACTTGTGATAGGCTGAGTAAAAATAAGAAATATATATGATGTGTGACCTAACCGCACACTGACCTAACCGGTATAAAACCACAAGCAGAGACCAAAACAATTCATCTGGCAGGTGGGATTACAGCTGATTTTCCTTTAGTTACACTGGTCTAGGTTTTCAAATTTTTCTGTAACAAACTTTTGCTTTAATAACCACAGAATCCTTTTATGAAAACAGGTTCAACTGAGCATCTGTTAAACTAACTGCAAAGAGGAGAATCCATTCCAACGAGACTGCTTTTAACTTCTCTGTTGATTTTGGAAGATTTTCAGATGCTCAGTTAAAAAAAACAAAAACAAAAACAGATGCAAAATAGCACATGGAGCCCTGGCCAGTGTGGCTCAGTTGGCTGGACATCATCCTGCAAAGCAAAAGGTCGCTGGCTTGATTCCCAGTCAGGGCACATGCCTGGATTGCAGGATCATTCCCCAATCAGGGTGTGCACAAGAGACAACTAATGGACATTTCTCTCTCACGTCGATGTTTCTCTCCCTCTCTTTCTCCCTCCCTTCCCTTCTAACAATAAAATAAATAAAACTTTAAAAAATATATAAATATCAAAATGTTTACACAGCTGTCTTTGGGATGTCTTTTAGTGCCATACCCTGGAGCCTTCATGCCCTGCAGCACACCGGTGTTTTTCAGATGCCCTGAACTCCATAAACAGCTCCCTAAAACACCTCCAAGTGCTGTCTTAAAAAAGCCAGGAGGGCCCACTGCCTGGGGCCTGAACCCCATGGACAAAGTGCCTACTATGTGCTAGGACCCTGGTGGGGCCAGCACACACAATACCAGATGCACCCTATCTCCACTCCTAACTGCAGCCACAAGCCAAAGGCCCCACCCGGGAAGGCTATAGAATGGCTTTACAGAGAAAGAAAATGCGGAGGCAAAAATAGCCAGTAAACCAACATTAATGGAAGGCCCCAGGTCCTGCCCATCAAAACACTTGGTCGCTCCAGGCCCCAAGCACCTTGGGGGCTTCTTCTGCCAACCTCACATCCTGGGGGATACCTCCCCACCGGCTGAGGCCAGTTCCAGCATCACCAGCCACAGTCCCAGAATCCCTCTGTCATTCAGGCCTCCTTCCTACTCCTGAGTGCCCACAGCCCCACAGGTGCCAGCCAACCTCACTATCTGGCCCATAGTCAAGGATCTACACAGGCCATGCAGGGCAACAGCCTGGCTGAGGGGAATGGGGGCGCTGAAGGGGCTGGTAAGGCCTCAGAAAGGTGAGCTTACCTATCACACTCTTGGCAAAGGATGCTCTCTTGAGGGTGGCCAGGCCCAGGTCGCCAATCTTTACAGAGCCAGTGGGCCCAGTGATGAAGATATTATCACACTTGAGGTCCCGGTGGATGATGGGGGGCGTCCTGGTGTGAAGGAACAGCAGCCCCTTCAGTATCTGCCGGCACCAGCTACGCAGCACCTTGGGCTTCATCACTTTGAACCGCTTCAGGTACCTGGGGGTAGGGGAATGGCTCACCGGCTACTCAAGTAAGGAAGGGCTTCCCATTGCTGTGGGCCATGTACTCATCACACAAAAAGGGACACCCCGTGAGAGAGGAGTGCTGACCAAAAACCAGGGAGGACCACCCAGCTATTATGGGCTGCATACCCTGAGCCACACCCACCCTGAGGCCCTGGCTGTCCAGGCAGATGATGCACTCACGTCTTCAGTGTCCCAGAAGTCATCAGTTCAGTCACCAGCACGATGCACCGTTTCCCCTTGGCACTGGACTCCCAGAAGTCATAGAAGCGCACAATGTTGGGGTGCTGCAGGCCCTTTAGCATCTCAGCCTCCTCCTTGAACCGCTGTCGCTCTAGCTTGGTGAGCTTCCGGTCCTAGAGAGATACACACACAGCTGAGAGGGACACCTGCAGAGCCTTTCAAAGAACCTGGTGACCCTGGGTGGAGGACAGGGGAGGGGCCAACCCTGAGGAGCCCCACCCTACACAGGCAGCTCATCAAAAAGATTTCCAGATGCCAAAGGAATCCCGAAACCCACTGCAACACCAAAGTGCTTCTTTCCTAAAAATGTCTGAGGCCTCACTCATGACACACCTACTGATGGAGTACGGTTAGCAAAAAGAATTTACACGTGACTTGAAGGACAGCTTCGTGAATACATGACCATGGTGGATAACAACCAGAAAACCAGGAGAGAGATCAGAGCCAAGAGCAAAGAAGGAAGACTAGAGTCCCATCCAAGTTCACCTCAGAGCTAAGGACATGACACACATTTCCAGGCCCTGGGGCCATCTGCGCCCAACACCTTTAACACAACCTGAACACACTCCAGCACCCTGATCCTAAGGCTGCACCCTGACCCACATCTGCCACCACCCAGGCCTCCATCTCACCTGTCCAAGCAGCCTGCTACTTCCAACTTCATCTCACAGGTGAACCTCACCTCCTAATGCCCTAGCACAGCATTTCCCCCATCTTGAGCACATGACCCCCACTATCACCTCTGTCCTGGTCCAAGAGGCCCACAGAGCCCATGCAGCACATGACTGGTTGTCCCACTGGAAGGACCTCCAGCAGAGAAAACAGAAACACAACTGAACATGGACTGGGGAACTCTGAGGAGCTGCAGGAAGACAGAAGACGTGCATCTAAACACACGAAGGGAGAAATCAGAGCTAAAAAGAAACATAGGCCAAGACCCCTGGGGTCCTTACAGAAGACCACAAAGGACATTAAGCCAGATCTCAACCAATCCAAAAAGGAGAGAGGGACCCTAGGATATGACAATGTCATCTGGTTAAGGAATTCTATCCCAAGTGGCACTGTAACCATTTATGCACTCTCTGCCTCTCATCAGTCCCACCCACCACAAACCCTCATCAGCCTCTCCATGCACAAGTGGGACCAGATGGCATGATCACCAACAGGGCGAAGGAACACCTGGCGGACCTTGGCACAGTTGATCCCGCCCCCCTCCCCCCCCCAAAAAAAAATTCCAGGACAAAGACAACTTCAAAAACATGCAGTTTAAGTCCTCCTAAAGATCTAAGAGGCTGAAACACATAAGATCAAACTTCTACTTAAAAAGGAACTCTTTTTAAGAGCTCTTAAAAAGAGAGCTCTTTCAAATTAAAGCTCAATATTTTAAAAATAAGATATTCTGTATCCAATGAAACATGAAGTACAAAAAGTCAATGTTTAATCTAGATGATAACATGAGAGCACATTCAACTCAAGAAAATAAAGTAAAGGCACCAACTGGGAAAAACTATTCCCAATAGATGTATTTGACATTGGACTTGGATCCAGAATGGAGATGAACTCCTATAACTCAATCATAACAAAAGAGGAATGAATATGTGTCATAAAACAAGATGCAGCAATGGCCAATAAACATATAAAAAGGTGCACAGCATCCTGAGTCACCAGGAAAATGACTATTACAATCACAAGATCCCACTTCACACCCGCCAGCTAGATAAAATAAAAAGGGTCATTCCAACTTCTGCATAATGGGGAAGCTGAGCCCTCCTGGCATGTGGCTGTTGGAAGTACAGGTGGAAGTGCAGTGTCGGAAGCCTCAAAAAAGCCTTGGCAGGTCTACATCCAGCCCTAGGCCCAGCTATACCCTACTGGTTACCCACCCATGACAAAGAAACAGGAAGCCACAGAAGACAGGTACCTGGGACTCAGAGCAGTTCCACTTGCAATAGCCCCAAACTCCAGAAGAGGCAGAACTATCAGTGGGGTTGAAACCAGAACAGTGCTGGGCTCTGCGGTGGAGGAGGCACAGATAAAAGAGGATGCAGTCACACCCATGGGTACAACTACTTGTACACTTAAGATGTGTTTTATTGTGTATCAATTAGTGCTTGACTTTTCAAATGTAAAAAAAAAAAAAGTAAAAACATCCAAAAACCAAATGTGAGAGACAGAAGAGTAACCTCAAGACACAGCAAACCAGCTGAAAGTCCTGACAATATATAATGAGTTCAGAGGAATGAAGAGGGATCAGGAAGGAAAAGGAAACAGTAGAATAGTATTTCCTTTAGCTGAGAGCAGAACTATTTATTTAAAATAAAAGTGTGTGCCCCAGCCAGGTAAGAGTAAATGAAAAATGATCCACCACCAGACTAGTTCCAGCAAAATTCAGATTCCTGATGGCTGAGGACAAACCCCACCCACCTAGGAGGAGGGGCTGGCGGGGAGGTCTCATCAACAATCATGGGCGCACAGCCAATGAGGCAGCCTCCTCAAAGTGCTGACTCTGTTCTGACCTAGAGTAACTTCTGACTCTATATCCAGCCAAACAGATGTCAAATCCACAAATATCAACCCTAGGACTGATTCTCAGACACTGGAAAACTCAAATCTGATTCTCTGGCACCCCAGGTAAAACACTCGCTGGAAGAAGTGTTTTGTCATAACACAGCAGAGGGAGTGAGGCAAGGGGTGCCTGCAGCTGAACTTGGCAGAAACCAGTAAAGGAAGTCAGGATGCAGGGTGTTCCTGGTGCCACGCCCAGCAGGACAGCTGTCTTTGGACAATGATATTTCAGTTCCAATTCCTTTCCAAAAGTCTGGTCACTGATTCTAGAGGAAACTCAGAGAATCATTTATGGTATAATTTTTTTTTGCTAGTATTTCAGCACCAATCAAAAGCAAAGGAAAAGATTTCATTGTAGTTTCAGAACAAAAGGTTTGTGTTATATAAACAACATAACTAACAACAACTAAGAGCTTGGGAGGAAAGTGCCCTGTATATGTTACGGTCTCATTTTCTGTGACAGGTCCGGGCTAATAGTGACAAAGATGTGGGTATAAAACAAAATCACATCTTTAGATAGTGCCTCTTAGAGCTCAGCGATGGGGGAGTGGGGGGTTGGGGGGGTGGCGGGGTACAGGCAGCGGTGGATGGCAGGAAACAGACTTCATTTTATGTTCTAAGCCACCAGGCTATTTTTAACTGCGTAACACACTGCTGATAATTTAAAAGGTCAGTTGGTGTGTCTTCAGAGCACTCCCCTCACAAAGCCAGCCCAAGTCCTTCTCACTGTCTGTGGATCTCTGGCAGGCCCCATGAGACCAGTAATTTCGCAGAGCAGAGCCACCTCAGCAACCGGCTGTGGCCAATGCTTGTGGGATAAGCAAATTACTTGATGTGCTGAGGTGGCTACAGGTCATGAACCAGGGCAGGAGGACAGCTCCTGACTCTTGCAGGACCCTCCAATCCTGCCAGAATCAGATTGTTCTAGAGGTACAGCAGTGAGAAGGGGGCCTCTGGCTGTTCACAGGCCTTGCTATGGGATGGTTCAGGTACCTAGACAGGGTGGGCAGGTCACTTAGACCAGCCTCCCTGCCTGAATTAGTGGCTCCTATTCCCCCCAAGATAGTGAGAGCCAATCAGATTACAAAGGAGAAAGCATTCTAGACATCACAGGCGCTCGTCTCCTACAGGAAAAAAGCCGAGCCCATTGCAAATATCACCCAGTCCTAGATGGTACCCCTAAGGTAGCCAGAGTGGTCAGAGGACAACAGTCCTGGACCTGAAGGGCTTCTCCCCAAAGGCCCAGGAGTCACTAGCTCTGTGCTAACAGCCCCACCAGTGAAGGCTAAAGTCCTCCCCCTGCTCTCAGTGGGGTTCTGCAGCCATCTCCTTTCAGCAGGGCAAATCCCAACCAACACACGAGGACTGAACTGCCTAGGGACCCCAAGTCCAGCTAGGGAAAGGTGGGGTCCACACACACAGAGCAGAGGGATAATAAGCAGCAAGAAGGAGCATAGAATCTGGTGGGATCTCTCACCAGCGCCATCAGGTCATAAATCAAAACAAAAAAAGCTTCAAGAGACCTGTCACTTCTATAAGGAAATCAGCCCAGGATAAGACTCCAGGTACTAAGTCAGCTCAGAACAAGTAGCTCCAGGGACAGAGTTGGCCCAATACAAGAGATTGAAGGACAGAGCTGGCCCAGGACAGGGGCTCCATGGATGGGAGTCAGCCCAAGAATGGGGGTCTAGAGACAGGTTGGCCCGATGGAGAGGGCACAGCTCCCTCCAAGGCATGGGGAGCAGGCAGCCCAGAAAACAGATAAACAAGCAATTAAGGAATAGGTGGGAGAAGCCAGCCAGCAATACCCCTGTGCCAAAGAAAAAGTTCCTGTGGCCTGGGAGAAGGGCAGGGCGGGAATCCCAGGAGGAAGTATCCTGCATGCAGGTGTGAGATCAGGGAGAGCAGGCCAAATGCGGTTCATGTCACTCAGGTGCCAGCGTCGCAGGGACAGCAGGCACATTAGCAGCTCTAAGGAGCTCTCCTGACCCCTCTCAGGACTGAGCTCCCACCAAAGGCCACCAACAGAGAGACTTTAAACAGAGTGTGATGTCTCACATTTCTGGACTGTGACCTGCTCCAATATTTACTGCAGTTCTAAAAATAAAGTCACTTCTTCTAAACCCAAGTGCTTTCCTTAATCTCATCTGAACAATAAAATATGTGAAATCACAGGTGAGTGGTATATGCTTTTTCTAGTTCACATTTAATTTAAAAGCATCATTATTAAAACAAGTAGTCCTCTAGCCATTGCTACTACCACATAAGACATGCCCCCCACCCACAACCTGGTCTGAGGTAGTGCACCTGGGGAAGTTCCAGCTGGGCAAAGGCTGAGGGTGAATCTCCGTGGACAGGTGGGTCGGGGAGGGTAAAGCACTCCAACACTCACATCTGCCCTGTCACAGGAGCCAACAAGGTTGTAAGTCCGTGCATGAGGAAGACAGTTGAACATTGCTATCTGGCCCCTTACAGCTTTTACAAATACTATCTTTAAATAGGGAAGGGGCACAAATCACTCAAAGCTAGTGTCTTTAAGGGAACCTTG